CCTTGGCAACTTTAAGATGGGTGACCTTCAACCCCCAAAATCCCCCCCCCAGCTTTGGTGGCTGGGGAATTCTGGGAGTTGAAGTCCACCCATCTTAAAGTTGCCAAGGTTGAGGAACCCTGCTCTAACTGATTTGCAGGGCCTGTTGGCGTAAGCTTTAAAAACCATACTCTAAATGTTTGTACTGCCTTTGATGCGTAATATGTAATACATATGGAAGCCATTCTTGATTAAGTTTGGGACCACCAACTTGACTTTTTTTATTGCCTCCCAACAAATGCCCCAGAGGAAAGCATCTTTCAGCTATGCCTTAAAACAGACCCATTTGGAGCTTGAAACAGGAAGCAGCTGCTTTAAGAGTCAGTCTCATTAATCACATGGCTGCTTTAATGAGTCAAAGCCACTCATCAAAGTTAATGTAATTCTTAAAGGACAGGAACCTTTCTTTCAGGCTCATGCAGAAACAGGGTCAAGGCTTGTTAATAGACGTTTGTCACCCCAAATTGGCTAGGGAGTAACTCACTGCCAAATTTGAGAGGTAGTGTACAATCTCTGCATTCACACAATCTATTTCACTCTCTCTGCTGTTAGTCCTGGGTAGTTCTTGGAGCTCCAGCAGCGGATGACCAAGGAAAATTCTCTGTGTGGTGACCAATTGAGGGTCAGGGCTACTATGGGGGAATTGACACCTAGCCTTCCCACCCTCTCTGCACCCCCATGTCATCCAAGAATAAACTAGTGAGAGCAGACCCTCCCCCAAAAGGTCAAGATGGTGGGTGCAACATAAAAGAAGCTCCGCCCCTTTTATGTGTGTTACATGTAACCAAGAGGCGGGGCTTCAGCCACGCAGTTTTGGCTACCATCTTGACTTTTTTGACATTCCTTTGGTATCATACCAAGAAGGAAGAAAATAAAAACCCATGAATGTTCTACCTACCCGTTGGGTTATGTTCCTCAACTAATCCTATTAATGTTCCATTTTTAGGTACAGCTATATGAATACAGGATACTGGTTTCACTGGTCGATTTTCCTCCTGGTTTTAGCTGTGTTTTCATTCTCCTATCTCTTGTTTTTATTGGTAAGTGCATCTCTTTTCAGCGAAAGATCTTCCAAGACTGGGGTGTCTGCAGGGAGAGGGTCAAAAAGGTCAAGATGGCAGCCACAGGAATCTCAAGGCAGGTAAAAAAGGGAGGGGCTTTGATTGCATCATTGTGTCAGCCATCGAGTTTTTTGATCGCCTGCAGACACCCCAATTCCAAGATTATGATGATGACAGCCATATTGTCATTGCAACATAAAGTCAATGATCTCCGCTTGGATGGACAATCTTATCAGCTGTCTGTAGTCTCTCTGTCCATCTTTGGTGGCTGGGGCACCCCCCGTCCACTCATTATCTTGCTAAAATTTGGAGGCATCAGTTACAGCATTAGGGTTCACAAGCCTACTTGGCTTTATAAAAATGGCCCCACCCCCAAAGTATGAACATTTCAGCCCTGCCATCAGAATGATGACCCTTGTTGCCTTTGACTGATAGATTATGTGCCATCCAGTCATTGTCCAGTCTTAGTGACCACATAGACCAGTGTTGTCCAAACTTGGCCACTTTAAGATGAGTGGACTTCAACTCCCAGAATTCCTCAGCCAGCCTTAGTGACCACATAGACCAGTGTTGTCCAAACTTGGCCACTTTAAGATGAGTGGACTTCAACTCCCAGAATTCCTCAGCCAGCCTTAGTGACCACATAGACCAGTGTTGTCCAAACTTGGCCACTTTAAGATGAGTGGACTTCAACTCCCAGAATTCCTCAGCCAGCCTTAGTGACCACATAGACCAGTGTTGTCCAAACTTGGCCACTTTAAGATGAGTGGACTTCAACTCCCAGAATTCCTCAGCCAGCGGACTTCAACTCCCAGAATTCCTCAGCCAGCCATGCTGGCTGGGGAATTCTGGGAGTTGAAGTCCACTCATCTTAAAGTGACCAAGTTTGGACAACACTGACATAGACAGATTTTCCCCATGACCATCTGTCCCTAACCTAGTTCTTCAAGTCTTCCAATGCCTTTGGGGGCTGGAATAAATGGCAAAAAGGATGGCCTCAGGTTCAAAAGCTGACATGATCCTGTCCTAAAATATCAGTATGAAAACATTTGCAGAGATTAGATTTTTCCTAGCTTCCGAAAGAGAATGTGATCTACTCAGTAGGTAATATGTTTGAATGAAACATCTGAACTCCTGCTTAATGACTGGATGTGAGGTACTGGCATTAATGTTAAGGGCTCTGACTCATATGATTTGGTCACGTCCTTCCTGAGAAGAAGAAAAGGGAAGACAGGTTTGTTATGCAGCTTAAATTCTCGGCCTCCCCCATTTCTCTCCTGTCTTAGCACCTGATTTTTCAAGAACTCCTTTTTCTACATGCTTTCCTTGGCGATAGTTCCATTTCACTGTACTTTATGGCCCAAGGTGGAAATTACTGAGGGATCTCCAAGGTTCTCATTGTCTGAGCTGCTGTGATATCACAGAAAGTTAGAATGATAAGAAGGGTGATGAGAAAAGGGATGGTTTGATGTAACTCTACTTTTACTGTATTTCTTACAGATTTCCAAATTGTTTTACAGTATGACTAACCAATGATTTTCATAGATCTTAGCAGTGTGTCTCCTGTGTGAGAATCAACAGCTGTACCTACACTGGTGTCACAAGGTAAAGACAATTCATCTATTGCTGTTTCTTTAAAAAGGTATTATCTCCTAGGAAGAGATGTTGTTTCAGTTCTGGAAGCAAAGCATCCAGGAGCCGTGAGATGTTTTAAGATCTACTAAACCAAAGGTGGACACTTTCAACCTCTGAAACTTTGGAGGGAGTCATTTTGAGGTGGGACAACATGAAATTCTGCCACAGAATATGTACCCCAACTTATGATCCATGTCCTAAGGTAGTTCCTAGATCAGTGTTTCTCAATCTCAACAACATCAAGATGTGTGGACTTCAACTCCCAGAATTCCCCAGCCAGAGAATTCTGGGAGTTAAAGTCCACACATCTTAATGTTGCTGAGATTGAGAAACATTGTCCTAGAATTTATCAAAGGAATACACTCTCTCCCATAACACTTGGGAAAAACTTAGAAAAACCCATCTTTGTGTTGTAACTGTCCCCACTGTCAGATTATATTTCATAGCCCTGGCGTCCTATCACAGATTTTGAACACAATCTTTACAAGGCATTAAGGACCAAGTGAGGGAGAGAAGAGGAGGAGGATTGGTTCCAGTTTCTCAACAGTGGCAGAGTTATGGTCCAAAATATTCCAGAACCTTCCTTTTCTTTCTTTAGGCTTTCTCAGATTCAAACAAAGGTGTTCTTCTTTCCTTCACCCCACAAAATCAGGAACGTTTTGAACCATCTTGCTCCCTCAGAGATCAGTCAACGCCCTGAAGGTGTCTTAAAAAAATTATGGCATGTTTGATGTTGTCCTTTCTTTGGGTTTGGACCGTTGCCAGTGACTCAGTCCAGACATCATCTGGGAGAATTATACGACCCATCCTCATGTAGGTAGTAAGCTTAGGGGCATAGAGGGGACGGAGCCCTCTTGACCCAAATCTAGATGAAGAGGTGAAGGCCACAGAGTCTTTTGGTGTTGAGCTGGAGGAGGCAGAATGATCTCTTAAGACTGAAGAACTGAAACAAATCTGAAAATTGGGCTGAGAGGTAGAAAGAGTCTTTGTTGAATCTGTGCAACGTTTGTGAATAATCTGTAACATTTGATCCTTTAGACGATGACGATCTTTGCCCTGTTTCTCTCCATTATTGGCTTAATCACCATAACACTATTTTGGAAAGGACAATGGTACACATTCTACCTGTCATTTCAGGTAAGGAAATTCAAAGGCCATTATACAAAGGAGATCTGCTCCTCATATGCTCCTCATATATGGAAGATGTGATCATCACTAGATTCTTTGGTTGTTGGATGAAAGCATTTTAGGTGCATTCCTAGAAATAACTAAAGTAATAAGATGTAAATGGATTGGCCTTGAACTTTTAAACATTTAATTCATTTTCATTTAATTTTAATTAGCTGCAAAGTTTTTAATGGAGCTGTTTGGTCTCCCTAGCAGATCTCAGCTCCCTTTCTCCACATGGCTGCCATCTTGACCATGATCCTTCTATCTTGGCCTGTGGCGATCCATTTCTTCCAGATGAAAAACAGAGGTAAGGTTAGGATTTCTTTACCCTCCAGTGTAAATATTGCAGTTCTGAAAAGCAGTGTATAACATCCTTTAAGAAAGATGAAGATAGTTCCAGAAGGTGGGTTTCAGGGGCATCTGTAGAAGGAGTAAAAAAAGTGAAGATGATGGCCAGATTTGTGCATTCAAAGCCCCACCCCTCTACCAGAAGCTTGGTTAGATCAAAGCTTAGCTGGATCAAAGCTAATCAAATCTAGCATCTGCATACAATAGTTCACCTTTTGGAAAACTAACAATAGTTCTTCAGCTAGTGGGTTTGGGAAGAAGGTTGGTCCTTGATGCTGCAAGAACCAAGTTCTTCAGGAGCTGGTGTTTTTCAGAAGGCACTGAAATGGACTCCTTTGATGTTCTTCAGTTCTACAGATTCTAATCTTTGGTCCTTACCTGTTTATCCTGCTCTTTCTTCTCTTCATACCCCTGGGGATGACCTCACCCTGCATCCGGGAGAAGGGGACGCTGGGTCCCAAGCCAGGCCTGATAGGTCACAGAGGAGCACCGATGGTAGGTTGAGCAGAAAGTACCTTCAGCAGCCAAAGAAGAGGTGCTATCAAAAGAACCTTTCTGTAGCAGGTTCCCTCCAGATTTGTGGAAACCAGAACTCCAATAACGACTGAGCCCTCGGACACGGTGGCTGTATCTGTAGGAGCTGGTCCATGCCTGAGTGAAGAATGCAGTTGGGTTAGGGTGCAAGACAGGCCCCCAGCTAAGAAGAACAGGATTGGGCCTTCAGTGGGTTCATGGTGGAAGCAATCCTCAAGCCAAGAAGTTCAGGTTCTGGAGCTCAGGCGTCAAGCAAAATGGCCGCTTGTCAGAGATGTTGTGGTCCCAGCACAGGGCAGGGGGCTGAACGAGAGGGTCTGCAAGGTCCTTTCCAAGCCTTACCTTCTGTGATTCTGTGACCACCGAGATAGAACTAGATAGAGGGTCTTCCCATCAGTCCTCTGTTTTAA